CCAAGGGAAAACTTATTTGAACAAATAATAAAGGAGAATTTCCCCAATCTGGCAAAGGAAGTAGACTTCCAGGAAATCCAGGAAGCTCAGAGAGTCCCAAAGAAGTTGGACCCAAGAAGAAACACACCAAGGCACATCATCATTACATTAGCCAAGATTAAAATGAAGGAGAGAATCCTAGAAGCAGCAAGAGGTAAGGGGACAGTCACCTACAAAGTAGTTCCCATCAGACTGTCAGGGGATTTCTCAAAAGAGACCTTACAGGCAAGAAGGGGCTGGAAAGAAGTATTCCAAGTCATGAAATCTAAAGACCTACAACCAAGATTGCTCTATCCAGCAAAACTTTCATTTAGAATGGAAGGACAGATAAAGTGCTTCTCAGATAAGATCAAATTCAAGGAGTTCATCATCACCAAGCCCTTATTATATGAAATGTTAAAGGGACTTACCTAAGAAAAAGAAGTTTAAAAAAAACATGAACAGTGAAAGGACAACAAACTCACAGTTATTAACAACCACACCTAAAACAAAAGCAAACTAAAAGGACAGCTAGATCAGGAGTGGAAACATAGAAATGAAGATCTCAAGGAGGGTTAGCAACAGGGGACTGGGAGGAGGAGAAGGGGGGAGAAGGTACAGAAAATAAGTAGCATAGACAGTAGATAGAAAATAGATGGGGGGAGCAAGAATAGTATGGGAAATATAGAGTCTAAAGAACTTGAGACACATGGTCATAAACTAAAGGGGGGTAATGGTGGGGATGGGGGTGTAGGGTGGAGGGGAATGAAGGGGGGAATAGAGCAACTGTAATGGCATAATCAATAAAAAATAAATTAATTTAAAAAAAGAAGTTATTCTCTTTTAAAATCCATTAGAACCACCTCATTAGGTTTTATTCCTTTAATGAAATATCATATATTCTCACCCATTTTTAATGTTCTATATTTCATAATGTGAGCGAACCATAATTTAACAAATTCTCTTCTACTGAAAACTTTAAAATTATATCTGTTATTATATATGTTATATAAAATATATTAAACATACTTCATTTCATACACAGAGAAGGATAAGTAGGGAAATTTTTTAATGCTTTTCTTTTCATTGCATTTATTAATTTGAAAGAGAGTTAGTTGTTCCGCTTATGTATTCATTCATTGGTTGCTTCTTGTATGTGCCCTAATTGGAGAATGAACTGACCACCTTGGCATAGAGGCAGGACACTCTCACCAACTGAACTATCGGGCCAGGGCTACTAGGAGAAAATTTTGAAAAGTGAAATTTCTGAATCGGGGGGTATGAGGATGTTGTTTCTGGATGGCTACTCTCAAAATAATCACTGGAGAGCCTTCCCCAAGTCTTTCAGAGCAAGGGCACTGCACCTGCTTGCTCATCAGCCTCAGAGATGTCAGGAGTCCTATGGATCCCCATATGGGCCATCACACTACGTTAAAAACATAGCAGTCAGTTGTTTTACCAGCAGATAAGGGGTTTATTCAGAAACAGTAAAAAAAAATGCACTTTAGGACAAGCAAGCTGTAGCAAAAGTCATTGGAAAGATCCATAAGTAAAAGAGAGGAACGTCATGTTACATAGAGAAAGGGAGGGAGTGGGAGGGATCATTTCAACAGAAAGTGCACTGGAGGAAACCATCAGGGTGATGATGGTTTCACTCTGGCTGAGTTGCTGGGGAGTCAGTTTCTCCTGGTGATGTGGGAAGCTTTGGAAAACCTTTGTTCACCCAAACCCCAAGCGCTCTGGGAGAGTGATAAGGCCATCTGGGAAAAGCAAACAGCAGGATAGTCACAAGGGCTAGGGCTAGCACCTCCACAGTTAGAACTGATTTTCACATTTAGCCTTTGTACTCTGCTTCTGCTGTTGCAGGAAAATGAAGCAACCAGACACCGAGGGTTTCTGGAGTACGAGGTTTATTAACGTGCACGTGCTCTCAGAGGAGTCAGTCTCCAAATTCTGAGTCCCGAACAAAGGATTCTTGGGGTTTATATAGCCTTCGGGGCAGTAAAGCAAGATACAGAAGCAGGAATACAGAAGTCAGTCTCAGCTACAAGGCGAAAGTAAAGTACAAAGGCTAAACTCAAAAGTTAGTTCTTAATAGCAGGGGTGCTAATCTGAGCCCTAGCTAAATGCACCGTTGTTTAGTTATCCCAGACAGCCCCATCATTCTCCCTAGGGCGCCTGGGGCCTGGGCAAATAAAGGTTAAACAAAGGTTCTTCAAAGCTTCCCATATCACTGCCACATAGCTAGAACTAACTTCCTAATTCCGCTTCTGTATCCTGCTTTGCTACGTAGACAGGAAGACCCCATAGACTACATAAACCCCAAGAATCCTTTGTTCGGGGCTCAGAATTTGGAGGCTGACTCCTCTGGGCCCGTGCACATTAATAAACCTCGTACTCCAGAATCCCTCAGCGTCTGATTGCCTCATTATCCTGTAACACTGGGAGCACACAATACATCTTGATGTTAAGGCCTGTGACAATTTTTCCCGTAATTGACCCTGGGTGATGTTGTGTGACAGCAGCCACACTGAGCCCCAAGTCCACTTTAGTGAGGTTTCCCTTTAAGCAATTTCACAGTAATACTTAGTTGGCTTATTTGCCATCCATGGAAATCAAGTTATATTTATGGGCTCAAAACGAGGTAAGGACCAGAAACACTTTCCACTTTATCCCATGAAAGCCAGTAGCAGCTAAACTGACCCTGCTCTATGGACCCCTGTAGTCAAATTTGATGTTACTTTCATGCAAAATACTTGTAGGTTTTTCCAGTATTTCTAAATTTATTTAATTTTGCTTGGTTTTATTTCATCTTCCTATTTCTGAAAGGTTTTTACACCTGAGTTACTTAAACACACATATTGCTCATAATGCCACTTCCTTGAGATGTGAAATTCTCCCAGTGTGTTGTCCAGTGCATTTATTATGTCGTTTGTTGCGTTTAAATACTTGAGCCCTCTGGGACTCATTTTGTGTCTATGAATTGCGTGGTCAGAATTTACTGACTTAAGTTTCCACGGAATGCAATGCAGTCTTTCCCGCGTCCTCACTGCTTATGCAGCTCTAGCTCAAAGTGGGGAGTGGGGGGCACGGACGGGTCTAGATGTAATTTGGGGATCCTGACCACAGTCTGGTGGAACAAAGACACTTTGGCAGGAGGCAGGAGGCCCACGTCCACCCTAAGGTCCTGCCTGGCTCGGAGTTCCCAGCTCCTGCGAGATGGATTCCTCACCAGCGGAGGGACAACGAGCCTTGGACCTGCAAGCTGCGTGACTGGCGCTCAGGGGACCCAGGGTTGCCAATCCCCGCGGGACGGGTCTTTCGCTGACCAGTCGGGAACCCAGGGGCCTCAGCCCCCTCTGCCCCGCCCTCTCAGCTTCTTCTGACCGCCCATTGGTGGGCTGGGACCAGGGTCCCAGCACTGATTGGCCGCTATCCAGAATGGACCCTCCCCCGCACCCCCATGGCCGGAAGCCCCGCAGCTCTGAGAGGAGCTCCACGGAGGTGGGCGGCGTGACCGGGTCCCCGAGAGACTGACCGGTAAGCCGGGAGACCTTCAAAGTCCAACCTAAGAGACCCCAAGTGCCCTCATCCTGAGGGGCCCCAAATCCCTTCAGCATCGAGGAACCCGCGTGCGCCAACCCGGAGGACCCCACATCTCCTAACTCCGAACGCCTAGACTCCCAAACAGCCCGAAAACCCCAGTTCCTCTCGGCTCGGGGCACCCCACCTGCAGCTCGCCCGGAAAGACCAAATCTCCCCAAACTCAGAGACGCTAAATGCCGTCGTCCTGGAAACTAACTCAGTGGTGGGGACCCTGAAGCCCCCTCGATGAGACGCCCCAAATCTCCTCAGCCGCAGGGGTCTGATCCTCCCCCCGGCCGTCAGTGTCCTCAGCCCAGAAGACGCCCCAGGCCGTCCAGCCCCTCCTCCCGCAGGGCCCCGCGTCCCCCTCTCCCGGGGACCTGGAGGCCCGCCGCCGGGAGAAAGGCGTTCGGCCCTCTCAGCGCCTTTTCCTTCCACAGGCGCCTCAGACTCGGGGCTGAGACACCATGAACCCCGACAGGGGCCCGCAGCACAGCCCTGAGGGAGCAGCGGGGCGAATGGGGGGACACCTCAGGTGAGCTGGGGGGCCGGTGGGGAGCGTGGGGACAGGGCTGGGGACAGAGCTCCGCAGACTCCCGGCCCTGGTGGTGACCCTGGCTGTGCGGTGTTGCCTCCACCAACGCCAGAGACAAATTGTCAGACACTTTCAGGATTCAGAAATGTTATTTTATTGGCCAAAGTTTTAACCTGCGCAGGGGCAGACCCTCAGAATGTCCAGAGACACGGTGCTCATAAGAGCTGCAAAGGAGAGCCGCCCTAAGCACTTACAGCTAAGTCTTTTTATAGACGCGAGCAAGCAAGCATTGTATAGAAGCAAATGTGGCTGTTAGCTACTGGCTACTCGGGTGGCGCAAGCATGACCTAAGTTTTCTGGGTTTTGAGTAATGGAAAAATATTAACCTAGACACTTGAACAGGTGGTCCTCTACTTGTTCAGCCCCATTGGTTTTGTAGTTCCGCCTTCTCCACTCCCTATGTTCTTTCTTAACTTCCTTGTGGTTTCTGCTCTAAGTTCCTTGTTCCTCCAGGCCAAATCTCTTTATAAGGCAGTCCCTATTTTATTCCCTATTTTTCTGGTTTCAACATGCGGGTGCAGAGGGCTGGTGTGAGAGACGGGACTCCGGGAGGCAGGGCCCCTCGGGGAAGTGGGAGAAGGCCCAGAGTGAGAGCAGCCGCCCCGGGACGCACGGGGAGGAACAGCCGCCCAGGGAACCGGAACTCAATCCAGACACGGCTCAGGGCTTGCTGCACAGGGACCACAGAGGCCCCGCCTGCTCCCTGCACCCGGGGGCCACGCACGTTCTCACTCTCTTCACTGAGTTACTGATGTTTCCACTCTCCTCTCCAGGCCGAAGAAGCTTTGAAAGACGCTTCCCTCTACTTCTCCAGGGAGGAGTGGGCAGAGATGGGAGATCAGGAGAAAGGTCTGAACGTGAAGAGGAACTTCGACAGGCTCACCAGCCTAGGTAGCTAGTACGCAGGCGCTGGGCAGGAGGAGCCTGGTGACCAGACAAGCTGCCAGGCTGGCTCCGGGTCAGACGGCTCCATCCACCTGCTGCTCCCTCCTACAAGGACACCGATCAGGGGGGCATTTGCTCCTTATGTCAGAGCAGGGCTGGTGCTGACGGTGCAGTGCTCACAGCAACTCCTTGTAGACTCTCCCATCTCATTGGAGCTGGTCACACGGGCTTCCTGGAGCTTGTTCCTAATGCAAGCTCTGCTTTCAGGACAAAGGTTTTGTCTCTTTCCAGGTCTCAGGGCCCCTCCACCAACTGTCCTGTGTCACCGCAGGCAGGCCACCGAGCTCCAGGAGGAGGACCCTGAGGACTCCGATGAAGAATGGGCTCTGAGGCAGCAAGGTGAGGGGCAGGAGGAACCAGAGCTGCCCTTCTGACACGGACCTGGTTTAGGTCAGGCTGCATCTCAGGACATAACCAGGGAACAGGGTTTGCTTGTGCAGCGAACAAGCAAGATGCAGAACAGAATGTATGAGGGGCTATTCCTGTAAACTTTCAAGCATGCAACATAATCATATACTTACAGATACACTAATAAGCAGTAAATGTATAAGAACATAGAAGTGAATAAGAATTAACTAATTCAGAATAGTCATCGCAAGAGAGGGAGGAAGGTCCGGCAAGTGAGGAGTGTCCCTACACCTGGCTGCCCGATGGCCTACATGGAGACCGACGGGGAACAGTATTAACACGGTGATTACGGGAGCTGGGGGGAGGGCCAGGGTCAGGAGTGTTGATCATTGTATCATTTCCTGATGTCGGCTATGGTGCCCTTCAGCCTAGTATCACAAGTGTTCAGTGGATAGGGTCAGTCCACTTTCATGGGTCTGGGATTGAAACACAGCTGAAGCCAAGATGTGATATTCAGCTTGACTAGAATTCTGTTTCTGTGGTCATCAGACTGTTGATGCTGACCAGAGTCTAATGATTAAGGAAGGGTATAGATGGCCAGTATGTGCACAGGGGGGAGGATACCAGAGAAAGGAGGCGAGGTGGTCGTGGTGCCCTTAGCCCGACAAGGCCAGTTTGAATGAAGAAAACAGGATGGAGAAAGGGTTATGTTGAAGTCATGGAGTTTCTGTGCAGTTACTTTTATTACATTTTTGTCAGGAGAGGCCAATGTATCTTTTAATAAATGATAATAGATGCTTTATGAACATAGGGTGAAGCATAGATGACACTTTGTCTATTTTTTTAATCATTCTAATGAAATTAGTGGATGGCCCCAACAGAAGCATAGATAGGCCTTAATGATACCTCGGAAAACATTTTCATCCTGGGATTGTTCCTGGACTACTCTCATTCAGAATTCTGTGTCCCTAATAAGAATCTCCAGATTTTGGAAACATTACCAATGAAAACACTGATTTCTCATCATCTTTCAGTGAAACCGTCTTGGGTGGCCTTCAGAACGGAACACAGTAAACATAAGAAGGTGAGTATTTCCCAAATCCTGTTGACAAAATTTTCCCCACAGATAGAAAGGCAAGTAAGAGTAGGAAAATGCCGAAAGTATCCTAGGAACTGCTGACTTCCTTTCCTGGTCTCTTCAACACATTGTCCGATATTACCATCTTTTATTAAAGATTTTATGTATTGACATTTTAGAGAGGGGGGAAGGAGGCAGAAAGTGAGGGAGAGCAGCATGTGCGAGACACACCTGTATGGGTTGCCACCCACCCACCCCCAAGTAGGGAACCTGAACCGCAACCCAGGCGTGTGCCCTGACAGGGAATGGAACTGGTGACCTTTCAGTCTGCAGGCCAGTACGCAATCCACTGAGCCAACCAGCCAGGGCTCATCATCATCTTAATAGTTAACTACAGCAACAATAATAACTACCATTTGTTTCATTTAAGAATTCTATGTGAATAAACTCACTGAAACATTACAACAACCCGATGAGGTACATACTATATAACTGTCTCCATTTACGATGAGGAAAGTGAGCTTTCAGAGATACAGAAATGTTTGATTATATGTCTAAGATCACAGTATCAGGGGTAGTGCAGTCTAACCCATATTTGCTTCTCTAAAACACTTACAAACTCATTAAAACTTTGAGAGTTTTGCCCTCACCACCGTGACCAGTTGGTTGTCATGCTGCAAAGCAAAAGATCACCGGTTTGATTCCTGGTCAGGGCGCATGCCTGGGTTGTGGGTCAGCTTCCACAGGTTGGGGTGTATATGAAAGGCGAGTAATCAGTGTTTCTCTTACATTAATGTTTCTCTCTCTCCCTCTTTCTCCCTCCCTTCCCTTCTCTCAAGAAAATGAACAAAATCTTTTTAAAAATTAGAAAAATAAACTGTCATAGTTTCTAAATTTTACATTGTCTTATCCATATGCCATTATATCATTCATCTGACTGACGGTTTCAGCCAAAGTTCTTCTCTGCTATACTGAAGAGAGAGATGCACTAATACCCTCTGAATAAGGAAAGTGTACGATGTGTAGGCAGCTTGCATAGTGGATGGTCCCAGATGAAGAAGAATGTAAAATGTCCAAGATCACGGCCTCCCACTCTAATAAAAAAAAAAACATCTCCCACCCCTGAGGAGCTTCAGGTCTGATGATTGAGAAACAACAAATAATAAAATGACTTAAGGCCTCCATATAGGTTACACACTCTTCTATAGAAACTCATCCATCTGTAACTGTTTCAAATGCCCTTTCCTATAGGGTGAAATAACAGCTTCTTTGAGTTCCAATGAGGCCACTCTCATCCTATTTAGAATCATTTGTTCAACCCACCTTCCTTTCCGTTGTGAGCTCTTTGAGAGGCTGGTCCATACCTGAGACTTCTCTGAAGTCACAGGCCCATATCAGGGCCCCTGAGGGCCCCCGAATGTTTGCTGAATGAATGATTTCACAATTACAAATTAAATTAGAAGATGATCAGTGAACACTGAAGGCAATTTCTGTGGGATTTTAAATATAGAGAGACCTGAGGGGTAAATTGATAGCAGGACTATAATCTCACATTCATGTTATATTACACAATTCACAGAACACTTTGGTGAGCATTATTTAATTGCACATTTACCGTAACATTGAAAATTAGCATGTTATAGATCATGAAAATGAAGACAACTAGCTACTGATACAGCCTTAGTCAAACAGAATTGGTGGGAACCAGCTAATCTAAGTACAAATGTTCTTTCTAAGGTATTGCAAATTTTATCACCATTTTATTTACTCTCTAGATATGTTTCTGCCAACCATTTCTTTATTTTCTTCCTAATATCCTTCACTTTCTATTATAGACAGTTGAAAGAAAAGAGCAATAAAGCATGAGTTCTAATCTTGGATTCGTTACCTACATTGGCCCTATCCCCTCTAATATTCATACTCCCTAGATATTTCCAAGGGTTGAAGTATTAAAGACATGCATGTAAAATGTAACATAAGCCTTAAAAATTAAGGACATGTTATCTTTTAATATGTGACTCATATATTGAAGGCAACATCCAAGATACCATTAAGCAATGAATACAGTTTGAAGGAATTGTCAGGAACAGCAAATTTGATGACTGCAAGTGACTCAGAGCAGGCCCAACCACCAGTGTCCCCTCCTGGAGAAGTATGTGCCTTTGGAAAGCACACTAGACGAAAATCAGGTAAGAAAAAGTAATTTGGAAACTTAAGTTCTTCTAAGGCCTACAGAAGGGCTGATAAGTATGACCTAGGTATGTGAGGTGGACTGTGGATGGACCTGGATTTAAGCTGGGCTGAGCTGAGACTAAAGTTACCACTGGACCTTTGGGCAAATCCTAAACAGTTGACACATACAACTTTTCCAATAAATCCATCTGTGATAACAGCAACCACACTGTACTGGTGTTGTGTGCCCAGGCCTTTACTCAATGCCTAACACATAAAGTGCACTCAATAAATATTTTATGAATGATTACAGGTTGGCAAATAAACCTAGTAATGGGAAGATCTAGAAACTAAAACTGAATCAGTCATCTGTAGTTAGTGTGGAGTCTTCATCTTCTGAACCAATAGTTAATGGAGTAAAATACCAGAGTATGCAAAAGGACAGGTGATCATTTGATGAGAGCAGATTGTATGTTATACAATAAAATGAGAACTAACACTCCACACCACACCAGCCTTGCTCACCTGGCCTTCTCCAACTCAGAACTCAAGAGAAAGGAAATGGATGTGAAGATGTACAACCTACGAGAAATAAAGGGCCATGTGTACCAAGATATCAACGAGCCCCAGGATGATGACTACCTTTGTAAGTGACCCACACTAAGAAGTATATTATGATACAATAATTTCATCTAGTCCTTTGGTCCCCAAATCATTCCCCTCCTCTAGTGGCCTTGAGTACAGGATTGAGTCTCAATGATGTCAGTGCAGGACTCCCTCTAAAGCTCTTTGTGTCCAGGAACATGCGCTATACCTTCCCTAACCCCTGTTGCTCTCGTCTCCAGATTGTGAGAAGTGTCAGAACTTCTTCATCGACAGCTGTGCTGTACATGGGCCCCCTACATTTGTAAAGGACAATGCAGTGGACAAGGGGCATCCCCACCGCTCAGCCCTCACCCTGCCCCCTGGGTTGAGAATCGGGCCGTCCAGCATCCCTGAGGCTGGGCTTGGAGTGTGGAATGAGGCAGCTGATTTGCCAGTGGGTCTGTACTTTGGCCCTTATGAAGGACACATCACAGAAGATGAAGAGGCAGCCAAGAGCAGATACTCCTGGCTGGTGAGAACTATTTACCTCTTCCACTGTCCTCTGGCTTCCCACATTCCTTCTGAGGATTGGAGGGACCTCACCTCCTACATGCTAGACATGGAGGGAACAATATAGGCAGCTCTGTGTACTGACTGGACTTCACATGAACACAGAGCTCCTGTTTAAGGATCAGAAGGTAAGTGGGAGCAAAGTGGTGTAGACACAAAGGAGTGGCATCTCCCTTGTGGGGCTCCTACTCTGATTGGAGAGATAAACTCAGGTGTGTAGATGATGAATAAGAAAAATATCATGTGGTCACAACTGGCACTTGAATCCCCATGAAGGTGGAAAGAGCTTTGATGACAGTGGAGTAAAATAATTCTTCTATTACCTCCCCAAACAAAATAAATAAAAGGTCTTTAATTTCTTTTCTGAAACACAGATCGCCAGAGGGAGAAACTGCTATGAGTATGTGGATGGAAAGGATAAATCCTGGGCCAACTGGATGAGGTAAGGTCAACAGGTCCCTGAGTACCAAAGGGGACTCTCATCCCCCACGAGCCCATATATCTGTCCCTCTCATCATGCCTCCCTCAGTGGTCTCCCTTAGTCCTTTTTTCCCCTCTTTTTCTCCATACAGTGTTCTCTCATTTCAGGGGACATTTAGAAAAAAAGTATAACTTATGTCCTCAAAATATAAAGCTCTCTACTGGACACAGCTTGGGCTCTGGAAAGGACCTTGAAGAGCCTAGATTCACCAGGAACACTGGACTACACTTTATCAAATGAACATTAATTAAGCACTTAGTGTGTTTCAGTTTAGATGAATGAACACATTACTTAAACCGATCATACAACTTATATCCACACGGAGGACTTCTCACAGACAGACATAAAACAATTGCCTTTAGAAGCATTTAACTATAATTTTCAAGAAGTGCACACTGTCAAAATAGCACAAACCAAGGATGGCCTAAACCTGTGAGGACAGCAGACCATCCCAGCCTCACTTCTAACTAAAGCTGGGCTCTGAGGCCTGCAGAGCAATGGTCATGGGCTTCTTTCCTGAGAGGGGCTCTCTTTTATCAGGGATAATAGAATGTGAATCAACTACTATTGTTCTGTTCTATTTTACTAAGACAAAAAGGCCTCCAATTTTTTATGGTAACCTTGGTCAGGCAAGTGAATGGTATCCTACATAAAGTGTAGGGCAGTTGGAGAAAGGCCTCTTCAGAGAAAACACATGTGTGCTAAGTACTGGAAAATTAGTGAGCTAATTCAGAAGCAGAGCCCTAGATCAAGCACCAGGTTCTGTGGTATGAAACAACTTGATTTAGAGTTTGGAGCAGCCAGAGACCACTGGATATTATGGCCAATTATGGTGGAGGTTACATCTAGAACTGAGTATTAGGAAATAGTAATAGGCAGGATGAACACTGCAAGCAGGACTTGGACATAACAATTCACATGACATGCTGGCAGATGCTCAGACACTGAACAAAGATTCCCTGGAAGCATTACGGGCAGTGGGCAACACCAGAGCCTGAGGGCCTTAAGAATCAGTGAGGAGGTGGACATGGATGTAACAGGTAGTGGGAACTCACACTGTGGTTTTCTTTTCCTCCTTCTGCCTCAATCCTAGGTTTGTGAACTGTGCCCGGAATGATGAAGAGCAGAACCTGGTGGCCTTTCAGTACCACAGGCAGATTTTCTACCGAACCTGCCGGGTCGTCAGGCCAGGCCATGAGCTGCTGGTCTGGTGCGGGGATGAGTATGGCCAGGAGCTGGGCAGCAAGTGGGGCAGCAAGTGGAAGAGAGAGCTCATGGCCAGAAGAGGTAGGTACCACTGTTCTTCAAAACAGAAAGAAAAGAAAGAATTCTCTGTAGAAACACTTATGATCCAACTCTTAAGTGGAGTAAAATCCACTCTGAAGTCAGTAAAGTTTCAACTCAGATGCTTCAGAAATTCACAATTCATTCATATGCCTTTCACTCTTAGGCAAAATTTTCATATTTTTTTTTAATTCATGAACAAAATACACAGCCGCATATAGTGCTGAAAGACTGAGAGGCTAAACAAAAGTTTTCAAGCACTAACCAGTTCTCTCACCAAGGCTGTTTTTCTGACACTTTTATAGCTGTTTCTTCTTAATTTTCCTTCATACTTCCAAATAAAACATTTTTGTTTGTAGGCATTCATTATTTTTTAAAGATTCTGTCCTGCCTGGTGTGGCTCAGAGGATGGAGTGCTGGCCTGTGAACTAAAGAGTCACCAGTTTGATTCCCAGTTGGGGCATCTGCCTGGGTTTTTAAACAAAATTTTATTTATTTTTACAGAGAATGGAAAAGAGGGAGAAAGAAAAATTAATGTGCAAGGGAAACAACCGGTTGTTTATGGCACACCTCCAACTGGCCCACAACCCTGGCATGTTCGTTCGATTCCTGACTGGAATTGAACTTGGGACCTTTCAGTTTTCAGACAACACCCAACCCATCAAGCCACACCATTCAGGCAGGGCACATTCATTCATCATTTCAGTGAATTATCATGAGAGATCCTACTCTGTGGTGCACAGCATCCTGGGACCTGGAAATACAGGTTAATGTGAGGATCAGAATCACTGCTCTTGAGGAGCTGACGGGTGAAGGAGGGAAACCTGGGCACACATGCTTACGTGTGCATAACACCACACAGCAGTCAGTGCTTTGGAGAAAACTAATCCAGGACAAGTGCCTGGGGATCAGTGTGAGGGGAGGTGTGCTGTGGCAGGTGGTCCGGGAAGGGCCCCTCAGGAGACAACATTTACAAAAATACCTGCGGGCAGAGGATCCCAGGCAGAGGGAGCAGCTAGTGCAGGGAAGGAAAGATGTGCGGCGTTGAATTCACTGAGGGTAACTTGGGTCTTGTCTCAGCACAGAGGGTAAGAACAGAGATCAGACAGATGCTTGGCAGCCCGGAGATGCAGTGCCAATGATCCCAGAGGAGACACTGGGGACTTTTCTGAGTGAAAGTGTGCAGTCGTCAGCTATAGAGTGGTGTGTTCTCTGTTCTGATTATGCTTTGTTAATTTTTAGAAAATAAACTCCAGTGGGGAATCCCCTCATATTACTTCATCTCCAAGTGAGAGAGCATGGTGGGTTGGCCAGAAAGGAACAGTAGTCAGGTGTATAAGAAATGTGGTTGAAATTTTTTTTAAGTATTTTATTCATTTATCTTCAGAGGGGAGAGGAAGAGAAATATCAATGTACAGTTGCCTCTCATGTGTCCCCCCGCTGGGAACTGGCCTGCAACCTAGGCGTGTGCCCTGACTGGGAATCGAACCACAGTTCTTTGGTTTGCAGGCCCAAGCTCAATACACTGAGCTACACCAGCCAGGGCTGGGCGAAATATTTTGAAACAGGTCTTCTTAGTGTATTTGAAATGGGCTAACACTGAATGAGATGAAGCATAAATATTTGGTTTGAAGGACATTTCATTTTACTATTTTGGAAAACTGAGAGAAGCAATTCCTAGGTGGGGCCTGTGGTTTTTCTCTTTAATATGACTTAGAAGATACCTATAGATGGGAAAGGTCACTGCAGTTCCATCCACACGGGGAGTGAAATGGCCTCTCATCCTCCTCAAAAGTCCCTAGTCTGGGCAATATTAGAAAAGACCCTTCGTGTGGGCTTTCTAGATTTCTGAGGAAGATGCACTGCATAAAACTCAAAAGTAAAATAGATGGTGAGTGGACACTGGGGGGAAAAGGTTGTGTTATTACCACAGTAAGAAGGATTCATGGGGCAGGAATGCCCGCGGCCCAGGCATTCTTACCAACATCTGCCCTGACCAAACCTTTCTCTTTCAGTGGAACCAAAGCCAGAGGTGCACCCATGTCCCTCCTGCTCTCTGGCCTTCTCCAGTCAGAAATTCCTCAGCCAACACGTGAAACTCAATCATCCCTCTCAGATTCTCCTGGGAACATCTGCAAGAAAACACCTCCACAAAAAGGAGCCCTGTCCAGAGCATCAGAATCAGCAGCAACATACTAGTACGCACAGCTGGAATGATAAAGCTGAAGGTCAAGAGCTCAAAGAAAGGTCCAAACTTTTGCTAAAAAGGACCAGTCAGAGGAGAATCTCAAGACCCTTTTCCCAACCTTCCAAAGAACGAATGAGGAGCTCTAGTGAGTATGAGAGAATGATGGAGGAAGAGCCCCACAGAAGCCAGAAAGAGAGTCCAGAGGGCACAGGCAAGTTACTTGTGAAAGGACGAATGTCAAGAACAATCAAGCATGGAGGATGTTGGCAAGGCTTAAATGATAGGTCACATCTCATCACACACCAGGGGACACACTCAGGGGAGAAGCCCTATGTTTGCATGGAGTGCAGGCGAGGCTTTACATGCAAGTCAGGTCTCATCAGACATCAGAAGACACACTCTGGGGAGAAGCCCTATGTTTGCAGGGAATGTGGGCGAGGCTTTCCGTGGAAGTCAGTTCTCATCACACACCAGAGGACACACTCTGGGGAGAAGCCCTATGTTTGCATGGAGTGCAGGAGAGGCTTTACACACAAGTCATATCTCATCCAACACCAGAGAACACACTCAGGGGAGAAGCCCTATGTTTGCAGGGAGTGTGGGCGAGGTTTTACCTGGAAGTCGGTTCTTATCACACACCAGAGGATACACTCAGGGGAGAAGCCCTATGTTTGCAGGGACTGTGGGCGAGGCTTTAAACAGAAGTCACATCTCATCAAACACCAGAAGACACACTCTGGGGAGAAGCTCTATGTTTGCAGGGACTGTGGGCAAGGCTTTACACAGCAGTCACATCTCATCACACATCAGAGGACACACTCTGGGGACAAGCCCTATGTTTGCATGGAGTGCAGGCGAGGCTTTACACGCAAGTCATGTCTCATTAAACACCAGAGAACACACTCAGGGGAGAAGCCCTATATTTGCAGGGAGTGTGGGCGAGGCTTTACGCAGAAGTCATATCTCATCAAACACCAGAGGACACACTCAGGGGAGAAGCCCTATGTTTGCAGGGAGTGCGGGCAAGGTTTTACCTGGAAGTCAGTTCTCATCACACACCAGAGGACACACTCTGGGGAGAAGCCCTATGTTTGCAGGGACTGTGGGCGAGGCTTTACGCAGAAGTCATATCTCATCAAACACCAGAGGACACACTCAGGGGAGAAGCCCTATGTTTGCAGGGAGTGTGGGCAAGGTTTTACCTGGAAGTCAGTTCTCATCACACACCAGAGGACACACTCTGGAGAGAAGCCCTATGTTTGCGGGGACTGTGGGCGAGGCTTTACACAGAAGTCACATCTCATCAAACACCAGAGGACACACTCTGGGGAGAAGCTCTATGTTTGCAGGGAGTGTGGGAGAGGCTTTAGACAGCAATCACATCTCATAGGACATCTCATAGGACATCAGAAGGCACACTGAGGAACTACAATTCTCCAAGACTGTAATTAGTACAGAAGTAACTGGTTAAAGGAACCCTCCAGTTTCATGACAACAGATGAAATGGACAAACAGTTCCATAGTGATATGGGGATGTCAGCACCAATCTCCTTCATGGTTTTTTGAACTATTCTTAAACATTTTGTCTCCATACACATCCCTCATTTTCCCCATCACTGAAATCAGAGGGTTCCTGAAAAGGCACAAAGAACTCATACTCTCAGCCACAGATATTCAACTTCTGGTAATGTATAAATCTGGAATCAGTCTATGTTGGTTACTGCCCAGAGAGAGGGATCTGAGACAGACTCACCAGAGAAGGGAATTCGCCAGACTCCTGGACAGGGGGCCTTTTCTCCTAATCAGCTCCCTACCCCTCCTGCCTTGGCTTCTCTTGCTTCTTCTGGTTTCCTACAACCTCTGGAGCCTCAGAGGTGAATGGCCGGGAGAGATGGATGCTTGTGCATGGACGTGAGCTGCTCAGTCTGGGCACTTGGTCTTCCTCACTCTCCTTGCTGCCTTTTCAGGGTCAGCATTTCCTGGTGCACAGCATACAGATTCCATATCAGTCCATAGTGGGTGTGAGTCTCGGCTCTGTCTTCTCCAGCTGTGTGATGTAAGGCAAGATTCTCAACTCTCTGCCTGCTTCCTAGTCAGTTCAATGGAAATGGGAACTTCAGCCTTGTGGTTTGATATTCAAAGTTGAGTCAGCACAGACAGAATCTGGCAAGAGGATCCCTGAGATCGCAAGTCCTACCGAACAACCTTCGGTGCCCGTGTCTTCCTGGTCTTTAGTGCTGGACAAAGGAAGATTAGGACAAGGGTGTTTAACCAAATTCAGAATTTGAGTAGACCCCACTGCTTTCCCCACACAGACTGAGCTGCCCTGAGAAGGAAACATGAGGTTGGGAATGTGCCTCCCTCCCAATCACCCTCTCACTGGGCCTGGGCATCCTCAGAGCCTCCTCAACACAGGCAGGTAGTACTGAGAGTGGCCTGTGAAACAAGACCCTCACCCACCCCTTGCTGAGAACTGACACTGAAACAGCACCTGTCTGCACTGGGGTGTTAGGTGGGATAGACGGTGAGCCAAGACAGGGAGGGCGAGGAAGACGTGTCACCCACTGACTCAGCAGTCCAACGCCTGGTCCAATTCCATTGCCAGATGTTCCAGCATCACAAGAAACACCATGCTAACATGTTGAAATTCTGGGTATTGTTTCCAATACCCGGGAAAGAAAGGCTTTCAAACTGTATTCATTCCAAGGCCTAGAAGATGGGAGGGGGTCTACAGCACTCAAGGAAAGGACCCATAAAACAAATTTGGTTAATTCCTTGCCTCTGTCCACTATCTGTTTTATGAGAGTGTCCCTAGTGCTTACAGAAAGAGGCCATTGGAGCACGGGCCTGCGAACCAGACAATCGCGGTTCGATTCCCAGTCAGGGCACATGTCAGGGTTGCAGGCAGGTTCCCTGCAGGCCAGTTCCCAGCAGGGGACGCACGAAAGGCAACCATACATTGATGTTTCTCTCCCTCTCTCCTTCCCTTCCCCTCTAAAGATAAATAAATAAAACCTTTTTAAAAAAAAAAAAGAAAGAAAGAGGCCATTGGTAACTTTGGGTACCTGCCTCAACTTAAACTGTCTCCTGTCATGGATCTATTTTACAAGATGGCCAAGTGGGGTCTGAAGCAAGATAAGGATTCAGGCTAACAACCCCCCACATACCTGTGTTTGGGTAGTCCATCCCCTTGAAAGTCGGCACCACTTTTACCAAAAATCAATATGTAAATTCCTGCCCCGCATCCCACCAACTATGTAAGTCCTCAGGACAAAGAGCCTGGTGCTTTGCCACCTGAGCTCTTGCCTTTCACCCTCACCTCAGCCAGACCTGTCCTCTTCCATGAGAATGTGTCACTAACAAACCCTGTTTGCACACTAATACACTTGCTGATCTGTAATCCCTTACTACGTCGGCAAGAAGAACTGAGTTTCTCCTGTGACAGGTGCACCCAATCTGCACATGGCATTCATGAAGCTCACAAGGCAGCAGCTTCTGTAATGCACTCTCCTTGTACCTGGGCCCCACAGAGTTTAATACACCACTGACACCATCTCGAAATTATTACTTATTGTATCTTTGAACTTGTTTGTGAACTCTGATGGAATAACAGACATGCACAATGTTGGTCATTTCTGGCCACCTGTTCACAATGGCCCAGGAGCACAAAATTCCCGTGGACCCAATGGTAGGAGTCCAGCAAGACTCAAGGTGAGAACGGGGTAAACATCTACATCTGCATAAGCATAAGGAAGGGTGCCAACAGCTCCCGGAGGTCACCCAAATTTTCTTACAACCAGAGCCGAGTTCAACACACAGAGATGTCAAACATTTAGTGAGGACCCCACCATACCCTCTCCCACATGAGGGAGACCTAAGCATGACAGACCCCATTATTGCTTTAGTGGGTTCACCAAAGGGGGACACCCACCCCCATGACCTGGAAGGATGATCTCCGTGCCACAGATCTAAAGGTCACTGGCTCGATTACCAATCCAGGCATGTGCCTGAATTGAGGGTTCAGTCCCCAGCTGGGGGCATGTGAGATGCAACTAATAGGTGTTTTTTTTTCTCTTTCTCTCTTTCCCCTTCCCATCCCCTCTCTAAAGTAAATAAAATCTTTTTTTCAAAAAGACACTTGAACAACAGGAAAGTAACAGCATGCTCTTGTAGAGAAAAATATATAATGATCTCCTTTCCCACAGTTACCTATAAATGTAATATGATCTAGATTAAAATATCAGCAAAAAAAATTTTATTCCTCACCTGAGGACATGCTTATTGATTTCATGGAGAAGGGAAGGGAAGGGAGAGAAACACTGATGTGAAAGAGAAACATCAAAGGGTTGTCTCCCCACTGGGGACCAAACCCACAACCTAGGCCTGTGCCCTGACTAGAGCTTGAACTACAACCTTTCAGTTTATGGAATTGTTATGGGAGAAACTCAGCTCTCCTTGCTGACACAGTAAAGAATTACAGATCAGCCAGTCTATTCATGAGCAAGCAGGGTTTACTAGTGATACGTTCTCATGGAAGAGAACAGGCTTTGCCGAGGTGGGGGTGAGAGGCGTAGATTCTGGTAAGGGTGGCAACAGGCAAGGACAAGAGTGGCAAGAGCCTTGGGTCCTTGGTCCTGAGGAATTAGGTAGTTGGCAGGATGGGAGTGAAGAAGTTACATATCAACTGGTGGGTAAAGGTGGTGCCAGCTTCCACAGGGGACGTGACTACCCAAACTTAGGTATGTGTGGGGGTCTGTTAGCCTGAATCCTTATCTCACTCCAGACCCCATTTGTCCTCTTGTAAAACAAATATGTGACAGAAGCCAGTTGAAGCTGGGGCAGTTACCCAAAATTATTTACAGGTTTTCTGTAAACATTAGGTACTCCCTTATAAAACAGATGGTGACCAGAGGTAGACAAATAACCAAAGTTGCCTTGTGGGCTTCTTTTGGGGGCACTGTGGACACCCTCCCACCTACCAACCAGACCTTGGAATTAACACACAGTTTAATTCCAAGGCTTTCTTTTCCAGAGCTTTCTTTTCCAGAGAGTGGAAACAATACACATAATTAAAATACCTAGAATTCCCTCCTCCCATGCTACCATGTGTTTCTCGTAATGATCCGAACACCTGGCACTGTTATCAGATCAGGCTCAGGACGGCTGACGCAGTGGGTGAGACATGTCTGCCTCCTCCTCCTTTCCTTAGTTTGCTATCTATCCTCCCTAACAGGACAATGCTGCAGCAAACTGAGCCACATTGGCCAGGGCTCAGCAAAACTTTTTAAAGTAAAACAAGCTCAATTTAAGTTTACCTGTTAAAATAAGGAAGAACTAAAAGGTGTATTGTATTATGAAGCTACATTAAGTACAACAGTGGATGAATGACCTATGAATAGACAGATTGAAGGAAAAGAATACAGGGTCCATTAATACATACAGATCCACATAGAAATTGTGTTTGTTTTGTTTACTTTTTAAAAATTTATTGATTTATTTTTCATTTGGAAATTCTTCATTTGCCTCTCACATGGTCCCAACTGTCAACCTGGCCCACAACCTGGCACAGGTAACCGGGTTCTTGATGATTGCAAACAAAGAATTGAACAGAACACAAAGAGTTTCTAGCAGACAGTTGGAGAGCAGATTTATTAAGTGATAGTACACTCCACAGAACATGGGAGCAGGGTGACTCCAAACAGAGTGATTTCAGGAGCTAGAGGGATTCTATACCTACACAGTGATACTTCTTGGCTAGTTTTGGCAGGGTTTTATTGCCCATGTACAAGTAGTTCTATTACTTTAAAGCTACTATACATATGGTCTCCCATGTTCTTCCTTGACTGACCACCAGGGAAGGGGGTCCCACAAGGCTGATTTATTATAATGCTATTTATAGCATCTTCTGTGCAGGTGCAGTTATGATTCTCCATGATTCAGTGCTTTTCCAGAAAGCAAGAACAACTGGTCTTAGAACAGGGTCTCTGTCCTGTATCGATGTCCTTTCTCTTAGCCCTGGAGCACCTCCAAAGTTTCCTCCTGACCATCTCCTGCCTCAAACCCAGGTAAATGCTCTGGGAATGGAACTGGCAACCATTTGGTTTGCAGGCAGGTGCCCAGCCCACTGAGCCACACCAGTCAGAGCCATTGCTTGAGTCTTGTATGAGGCTTGACCAGGGATCAAACTTACACCTTTGTTTACCTCCCTCCCCCAAAACCCTGTAAGAGATATAAAAAACTTCACACGAGTCCTGGCTGGTGTGGATCAGCAGACTGAGCACAGGCTTGCGAACCAAACAGTCATGGTTGAAGTCCCAGTCAGGGCACATAGCTGGGTTTTGGGCCAGATTCTCAGTTTGGGGTGAGAGGAAACCAATCCATGCATCTCTTACACAGATCAACACATAAATGTTTCTCTCCCTCCCCTAACCCCCTCTCTAACAATAAATTTAAAAATCTTAAAAAAAATAAACTGAATATGAGCAGCAAAATTGGATTCAACATTTAGGGATGATCCACTATACCCAGCATTTCCTACTGATCTGCACCAAGCTGTTTTCCCAACGTGAACACCAGATGGCAGAAGAGAGATATACTTGGAACGTTTTTTCACTGATCATACTGTACTGTAAAGCAAGTTTCAACAAACCTCAAAAAATTGAAATGTAAAGCTTATTGTTGGCACTGATTGCAGGCAACCTAGAAATCAGTAACAAAGGTTTACTAAGAATTCCTTATTTTTAAAAGTGATGAAATGCACATCTAAATAACGTTGGATTTCACATTCCTAGATACACTATACCCACTTTTCCTGCAAACCTGCAATAAGGCATCATTTCCCAAAATGACCACGAGATGGCAGCAGAGACAGACAGGTGCAATGCACATTCTACTAATGGCCTGGCTGAAATGTTCCTTAGCTTTTTACCCTAAGATGCAAAGACGGGCACACTTTTCACTGTCCCCCCACAACAGAACTGCACAATGTCATCACCATTTTCTTCCCCTTCCCTCTGCCACCTTCATATGATTTCACCATTCCATAATCCCACAACATTGTTCTCTTTTGGAGCAGAGAACTCTTCCAGGTGTCTTCTGCAGTCTTCCAGAGAATGGAAATTTCTCTCCATAAAGAAAAATTCAGAGATGAACTAAATGGCCATGGGAAGGAGCAAGGTCTCTGAGTACTGTGGAGGGATCAGCACTGCGCAGCCAGGCTGGAACCGTTTTCCCTGGTCAACAAAGACAAATGTGCTCTCTCACCTATAACCTTCTTCATCTTCTGCTGACAAATTCGACTCTTTCCCGCGGGTGGAGCTTTCAGTTTGTATAACAAGGAGCAATACCTGTTGCTAGTAACCTGCTGGCTTTCCAAAATGAGCTCCTACTGCAGGACTCCCTCCCAAATTCACCACAAGGTCACCATCACCTCCTTTGGATAAAGACTGCCCTTAGGAGGGACAAGTGGTGATTCCTTTCTTTCCCCTCAATCTCTCCCATTCCACATTATTCTCAAATAGCAAAGATTCATCCTCCCTCAACACACACAATCTTCATGGAAATGAAACATTTTCCTGAGACATGGTCTCAGTGAAGAACCACTTGTGGAAATCCACTCATGAAGGGTCCCCCACCATCCCACTGAACTCCTGTACATCCCAAATGGCAAAGTGATTAACATAACCAAATTGGTTCAAATGATTTTTGAAGCCTAATTATGATATAGTGAACATGTTGCCTGTCTCCCACCTGCCATGACATGATCTGTCCTCAGTGAGTGTCTGCCATTGAGGGCTCTCCACTGCACCTGCCCTGCCTGCGGGAGAAATCTCCAGCATGAAACTTTGCAATCCACTTCGGACACGTTCTGTCAGTCACAGCATCTTCTCCACACACACCAGAGATCTTTGCTTGCCTTACCCTTGCACTTGTATCTTCCTTGAAATGACAATGCCAAAAAAGACCAAGAATGTTGCTTATCTGCATGCATCTTCACTGTGAAAATGGCCAACCATACACTCACCACTTGTGGTGACATTTTTTTATCACATACCAATAGGACACGCATCATGATACAGTCCAACAGGATGGTTTCAAATGAAGTTAAAGACAAGTCATGGCATCCACCACAACCCCAACCTTTAATCCTAACCCCAAATTATGTCATGCACCAGAGAGCAGACTGGGAGTCCAAAGCCTGTCCCTGACTCCAGATGCCTGACTCTGGACATCATACCACTGAGAACAGCGTGTCCTCCTATTTAAACCTGTAAACCCCTTGAAATGTAATCATCTCAAGTCTAAAACCATAAAGTAGGTTTCTGTAAAAAAAAAAAAAGCTATATTAGATCAAATGATGCAATGATGATGCACGTTAGACATGAGATACATGAGGCTGCTGCTGGCATAACAAGGCATACGCTTTGAAAGAAAAATTGGTGAAAGTAAATGAGTAAACGTGATGTCCTCCTGATTAAAAAAGTCTGGGTAGCAGAAGAAGCTATTTGCAGAGTAACACCACCCACAGAATTGAAGTGAATGGTTTCACATTATACTTCCGATCAGACTCTTTCTTCCACAACAAAGAACTATATGACTCATCAATGAAGAAACACCAATATTATTTTAAACATTATATTTACTTATTTTTAGAGAGGGGAGGGAGGGAGAAAGAGAGGGAAGGAAACATCAATGTGTGGTTGCCTCTCACACACCCCCTACTGGAGGCCTGCATGCAACCCAGGCATGTGCCCTGACTGGGAATCAAACTGGTGACCCTCTGATTCACAGGCCGACACTCAGTCCACTGAGCCACACCAGACAGACAGACATCAATATTTTTAAAGAGCTTGAATACTCCCTTCTAAAGAGAAGACATTCATATGAGTAGTAAAAAAGAAAAAACATTCAATGGCTAAGTCACGGTGCAATACCCCTTCCACAACTACAAAGGCAATAATGCGAAAGCAAAACTGATAAAAGTTTATACTCACAAACAAAAATTAGAATGACCATTTCCTTTGTAAATGTAAAATATTGCAGATGTTTTATAAACTGATTTGGCATTTCCTCAAAACAAATACCCTACTGTGTTCAATAACTCTACTTTGAAATATATACCTGAGAAATTGAAGACAGCTATTCTAAGAAACACAATTATTCATGTTTGTTATAACAATACAGGATTATTCATAACAGCACTGTTAACAACAACTGAAAGGTAGAAAGCATTCAAATGTCCATCCACTGGTACACAAAATTTGGTTATTCTGTCACTGAAAAGGTATTGGACCCAAGGTGGGTTTGCCCTGGCAAGGACTCATGTGTGTATTCTTGACTTCCTGCAGTGAAAATTTCACAACACACAGCTGGGGAATTTTGAGAGTTTCTATATTAAATCTAATGACAGTGAAACAAAGAAAGGGCTTCACAGAGAAGAGGCCCTTCTCTGTGAAGAGGCCCACAGCAATAAGAGTGAGCACAGGCGGAACTGCTTCTTGGGAAACAGAAAAGTTAGACACAAAGAAGGTGCCTGGAGACAGGATCAGGGAGTCAGCCCTGGACAAGCTGCCACTGCCCATGGCTCCCCTGGCTGCCAGTCTTAGGGACCTCTGGAGATAAGGAGGGAAAAAGGGAAGATACACAGCAAAGAAGAGAAGGGAAGGCGCATCTGTGCTCAACGAACAGTGCATACTGGGTCCTTTATCTTTAGGGTTTTACCTGTTTTCTAATGTTGAGGACTTTAGAGGAGGTCTTAGAAGAGTCCTTTGCACAGAATACTCAGCTTTCCAGGGGTGCCCTTTGATGTGCTGATGTAACAAAGTGAGCACACAGAGTGATCAGCATCCTTCTCTGATGAATTTCTCCTTAAGAAAAGTCACCAGAGAAGGGCTGGGACTGAGGTGGGTCTTCGCCTGCGTGGTCTGGAATGTCTGAACCATTTGCTCTCCAATGCCCTTGGTCAGGGAAGGTAAGATCCTCGGATTTATTACCCAGCTATGAATTGCTAGGCCTTATTTAGCTATCAAGCTCAGTTTTCCCATTCCACTACCAAGGAATTATCCTACATTTTTAATTAACCTGTCTCAACTCCATACATACACTTGGGGACTCATATTGGCACTGATTTCACACAAAGATCATCTCTTGACACACACCAGACACCAGAACCAAACTCAGGATCCTGGACACAGACCTTTGACTCCAAAAGCTAGACCCCGGAGTGGACCCAAACCAAAACCTGGACTCCAGGCCCAAAGCCTCAAACCCAAAGCCATGTGCCCTAATCTGAGCCAGACCATGAAGTCCAAAGGTCAAAGACCAGATGGCAGGGATTGACATCGGACCCTTGTAATGCCAGATTCCATACACCAAAGCCTAAATGTTTATCTGCACGTGAACCTCGCATGTGAACCCAGGGTAGACACACAACTGAATACATTTTGACTCTGAAGCACAGACCCTGGACACAAGACACAGATCTCTAACCAGAATGCTGATCTGTAACCAGGATGCTATGGCCAGAATTTGGAGTTGAAGCCAGACACCGGGGCCCCCTTGCCAGAGGCCACAGGCAGGAGCTGAACTGGATCCTCCCATTCTAAACAACCCTGTGATCCAATAAGATAAAACTTACGTCTCTCTAAATGCAAACTTCAAAATCTTGCCAAACCCAGCAACAATGACTGGGCCAAACACAGAGTGAATAAAAAGGATGCTGACCTTGGAGGGCAGACGTCCATGATCTCTCAGCTGCAACAGGTTCAGGAGTTAGCACTGTCTCACCATTTGGTCCACAGTACCAGCTTTTCAAAACTGTGAGGGATTAAAAAGGGATTATTTTCCACAAATCTTGTTGGCTCCAACACCTGTGGGATAATAATCAAAATAACATAATCAGAACAATACAAGATATTCAACATTTAATATGTGCACAAGTACAAATGAATACGAGACAATTAGGTGATATCAGGTACATAGGACCTTTGGGAGTATGGGGAAACAGGGTCTTAGAGAAGTAAGACCGGTGATAGGAAATTTATGAAAAATGCAGCATTCATGGAAAGTTACTTTTTGTTAGGCAATCCCACAAACTGCAGCACAAAAGCTAAATTAATAAACTTTTCATAATTTCATCAATGTAATCATTCAGTTGAAAATAGGTTAGTTCATTTAAACTGTTAAACCTTGTGGCAACAGCAGCAGACACGGCCTGAGAGAGCGACCAGCTGCCAGGAGGGCCTTGCATCACCCACAGGGGGACAAAGGACTGAGTGTCCCTGTCCAGTTCATTGCAGACCATCTGCCTTGGCCTGCAGCTGGTGGTGGGCAGCAGGACCTGTGAGCCCAAGGCAGGTGACCATGAAGCCACAGTGAGGAGGTGAGCCATAGCCACATAGGTGAGACAATGACCCAGTCAAGACCTCAATGCCACCGGGACATCAGGCGGCTGGGATATGGGAGCTTATCCCAGTGCAGTTGGGACATCAATGCAGGAAGACAAAGGCACAGCCAGGACATTGACACCACCAAGACACATACACAGAAAGGACAGTGGCACAGCTCACATACTGACTCAGTTGAGACATCGATGCAGACGATACAGAGGTATAGCTGGGACACCAAGAAAACTGGGACATCGACAAAGATAAGAAAGTAGCACAGCCAAGAAATCTACGCAGGTGGGACAGCGGCACAGCGGGGACATCAAGGCAGATGGGATGTTGAAATACAGGCAACACAGCAACAGGACCTCGACATTAACACACACAGGACAGTGATGTGGAAGGGACACAAACACAGACAACATGGCAGCACAGCCAGGACATCAAGGCAGAGCGGACCTAGATACACAATCACGATTTCGACAAGGCTGGGACATTAGCATGGCACGGACGTGAACACGAAAGGGACATTGATGCTGACAGGATGTTGACGCACACGGGATATTGGACCACAAAGATGTAGACACAGTTGAAACATGAACACAGGTCTAGCCCATGAGAGGCACCTAGTTTCCTGATGCAAAGACACCGCTGTTGTACATAGGGGAGAGAAGGAAAAATGAACTACAAAGTCTGTTTACGTGAAAGTAATAACATCCATGACTAACATTCGTTCAACATTCATACATCATTCACTACAGCTGACCACCTTTCTTGCCAACCTGCACTAAGGTGTCATTCCAGGATAACAGCAGATGCACACATAACACTTTGGATATTATCATATTGTGCCATCTGTTAGTTTTTAACAAACTTCAAAAAACTGAAATTATAAAAAATACATGAGTTGTCCTCATTGCTACTAAGGTCAGAAACAGAAGGTAACTAGAAAGTCCTTTTATTTGAATTTAATGAAAGCCACTTGTCAAATAACATTCCAAGAACCCTTAGTAGATAATTCACTATAATCAATGACTTTTCCTGCTGGTCTGTGTCAGGATGGGCAGGGTAGGATGAAATGGCGGCTGGACTACAATAAAAATGGCGGCCAGACTACAATCTGGAAAAGACAGCTGATGTCAAACCAGAGAGACAGAAGTGTGGGCTTTGCCAAAACAGATATCCATGTAGCAACCTGAGTCCGAGGAAAAAACCACCAATGATGTATTGCCGCTTTGTTCAGAGGGGACCAATCCTCAGCTCCCACAGGAAGCCAATGAAAATAAAACCCTACCATTTTCCCTATTTGCGCAGTGACTTCCCCAACCCCACTCTGTGGACTGGGGAACCTCACCTGGGAGCGCAAACCCCAATAAAGCTCTTTACTGCCTGACTTTGTGGCGACTGGCATTTCTTTCTCAGAGGAGCCTAAGGAAAACCTTTCAGACTGCACAGAGCAGTTATTCCCAAGTGACACATGACATGGCAGCAGAGGGCCACACTTGGGACACTTTTCAAAGGGACCATCCTGTAGTAAGGCAACTTTTAACAAATTTCAAAGGATTGAATTTATATACAGTTTGTTTCTTTCTGTCACTGATGTTAATATAGAAATCAGGGAGAAAAGGTTAACTGGTTAGTCCTAATATATAAAAGTTGCCAAATACACGTCTAAATAACATTACAATCAACATTGATTGGTACTCTACTACAGTCAACCACTTTTCCCGCTCACCTGCCACTAACATGTTATTCCCAAAAGGCCCACGAGATGGCACCAGAGATGCACACTTGGAACACTACTATTTGGCCAAAATGTTCATTCGATTTTTAGGTAAAGACACAACGAAAGAAACATTTTTCGTTTTCACCAATAATTTCATTGAACAATGTATTCACCGTTTTTTCCCACTTATTTCTGCAATCTGTGAGGCATCTCCATTATTCCATCTTCCCAAAAGTTTTTATTTTTTGGCCAAGCCAATAAAAAGCCAGTTTCAACAACAATCCCAGCATCGAAATCATATACAGTATGTTTCTGTAGCTGCTCTCATTGTAGTGAAACTAGAATTCACTACAACTGAGTGACTGGAAAGTCCTTATATTTGGTAGTTATGTAATACACTTCTAAATAACCACAAAATAAAATAATTTGAATTACAAAATAAACTGAATGAGGATAAACATACTACATACCAAAACCTATGAAAAACAATTCTGCCCTTACATGCACAGTATCAAAAATAAAAGCTGAAAATATGCAAGTTTTGTGCCCATAATTATAACCTAAAATAGTAAATGAAATCCAGAGAAACTAGGCAGAAACGTTCACATCAGCATATCTGCAAGTGTATATACATAAATTGATGGTCGTTCTTTTTAACTCTTGGGGTAGAATTTTTATTAAAATTTTTCTCATTGTTTAAGTTAAGCAGCAACAAAGTAAATTAAAAATGCTTTTCAAGCACACTTTAAAAATTTTTTAAATAACTACATTTAGCTATAAAGCAGGTTTAAAAATGTCTCACAAACTATGCTTATTGCTCTCTTTGCCATTAATCTGAAAATCAGTCACAAGGTAACTAGAAAGTCCCTACATTTAGATGTTTTAAAATACACTTCTAAACACCTTCCCAAAATAAATCACAGAGTGGAAAATAATTTACATAGAAAAATAATAAAAATACTGCACACTAGACCAAGACCCTTCTGGTTTCAAAAACTATAAAAGCTTCAAACGGTTTCTCAACCAAAGGTAATTTCTGCCCCCCAAGGGGACTTCAGGAAATGTACTGAGCCATTTTAGATTGTCCTGAGGGGAAAGGAAGTGAGGGTGTTGATGGTGAATAGAAGTACTGGATGCTAATAAGCACCTACAAAGCAGAGGACAATCCCCCAGGAGAATGAATCCTCTGGCCCAAAACGTCCACCGTGCTGAGAATGAGAAACCCTACTCTGTATCATGAAGACTCCATTGGAATACCAGCAGCATGTCCCTTTGCATCCTAGATTTCAAAGGTTGCCTTTCTGGAAACAGGAAGCACAGAAGGTAAAACTTAAAGAATAAAAAATACCAGCCATCTTGCAAATGTTGGGGAGAAGTGTCCTGGGCAATAGGTCAGGAGGCAAAGGAAGATCTGTCCACCATAACACACTGTGATTACACAGAGTAGTCATCTGAGGATCCCTGCTTCTTTCCATTGCGCATACATCACTTTAATAACTGATTCATGATGTTACTTAGAACAAAGAATCTTATTCTGTTAAGATTCCAGATTTCACCAGCTCAAGTTCTCCTCTTTGAAAATGTGGACATTGGTTACATTCCGTGTTCCTCAGATAACCTACCCGGGGCACATTGCCTGTCACAAAATACTTCTGATTTCTGGACACCATGCTTCCAGACCCTAAACTGATTTAAAATGCTAAGAAGGATGTTACTATTTTTTTAGTGATTAATATATTCATGACTAACAAAGCAATTTTTCTAGCTCCTCACATTACCTCACTTCTTGTTTTCTTTCAAGCTTTAACTATTTCTAGGTCACCTACACCTACAACCATGTAATGATCATTATTGCATGATAGCATGTTTACCCTCGTAACTCATGAGAATCAACAGAAAAGTACTACAAATAGAATTCAGTGCAGTGACGGGAAAATAACATGCAGAAATAAATATGTAGAAATGGTAAGTTAAATATATAATTTTTTTAAAGACTCAGTAACAACAAAACAGGTAAAAAATGGGGAATAAACATAACAATGTACAGGATCTGTATGAATGAAATTGGAAATTGCTATGCAATAACAGAAACTTTAACAAATGAAAAATATCATCTTCGAGGATTTCCGCCAAGATGGAGGCACAGGTGGAAACACCTTGCTTCCTCGCACAACCAAATCTAAAAACAAGAAAGTTTTAACAACAATAAACACAACCAAACCACAGAAAATCGAACAATACAGAGTCCGAAAACAACAAACCGCTCAGCTAAACTGGTAAGAGGGGTGAAGCCAGCAGCGGAGCGGGTTGGGCAAAAAAGATCCCCCGACCCGGGCAGCACACAGGCAGCCGAGGGCGCAGATCCCAGGTGCGGGCTAGCTATGGGTGGACACAGGGAAGGCGCGGTGCGGCTGGCTGTCTGAGGTCACGCATTTGCGCACAGATAAACCAATGAAGAGACAAGCATTGAGACAGACCACGCAAGCTCCAGCACAGGGTGGTGGGCTAACACATTTGCACTCGGATAAACAGGCGGGGGCAAGCGGAGAGGACCACTATTGCTCCCTCTCTGACCCCACCCCAACATACAGCATCACAAACCAGCGACCTGGGTGGCCCCGCCCTGGTGAACACCTAAAACGTCTCTCCTCATACGTAACAGGCACAAACAGATCAAAACATGGCTCAAGAACAACTCAGAGCCCCAGAACCAATAAATCTAAGCGACAGAGAAATAGCCAAACTTTCAGATGCACAG